CAAACCCAGAACCCTCCAGTCCACAGGCCAATGCTCTATCTACTGAACCAAACCAGCTAGGGCTAGATGTTCTTAATTTTAATATAGCTATATATGTGATATATATTAATTATATATATAATAATAATATAATAATAATACTATGTATATTATTAGTGCTTTTTCTTTCCTGTTATAAATTTTTTGCCTATTTATAGGTCACAAAGATGTTTTCTGCTAAAAGAGTTATTGTTTGACTTTAAAAGTACAGATTGGCAATCCAAGTGAACTGTATTTTTGTTTATGATGTGAGATAAGAGTTCAAATAAAGTTTTTTCCATATGGATTTCCAAATGACCTAGCACCATTTCTTGAAAAAACATTTTTTTCCCCTTCATAACTACATGTCCTGGAAGACTTGTAAAAATATATTTTACAAACTTAAAATTTACATGTTTCAGACTCTACACATAGTTCTATAGTCTCCTATTTTTATACATACTATTGATGCATGTAGGCTATTAATGACTGAATAGTATTCCATTACATGGATGTACCTACCATTAGAATTTAATTAATTACCTTAAAGTAGACATTTAGTTTCCAATTTTTTATTGTTGATATTAAGGTGCTGAAATAAATATTTTGTTCAAAGTGACTGCCACTTGTTCACTAAAGATAAATTTCCAGGTATGAGAATAGCTGAATTACAATGTAAGGCCATTTAAAAGTTTGCCTTGTACCGGCACCGGTTTGGCTCAGTGGATAGAGCATTGGCCTGCGGACTGAAAGGTCCCGGGTTCGATTCCAGTCAAGGGCATGTATCTTGGTTGTGGGCACATCCCCAATAGGGGGTGTGCAAGAGGCAGCTGGTCGATGACTCTCTCTCATAGATGTTTCTAACTCTGATCCCTCTCTCTTCCTCTCTGTGAAAAATCAATAAAATATATTTTAAAAAAGTTTGCCTTCTGTAAGGTTTATATCAATTTATACTCCCACCACAGTACATAAACTTGTTTCTTTTTCATATTCTCACCAACTGTGGTTATTATCGATTATTTAAAATCTTTACAAAATTGTGTGAAAACATTGTTTTCATTTCCAATTCTTTTTTTTTTTTAAATACTAAACACCTTTTGTATGTCCTTATCGATGATTTATTTTCCTATTTTTGGATGTCCTGTTCACGTCTTCGCCCATTTTTCCTGATGCTGTCTTTTGCTTATTGACTTATAAACACATGCATAAATATCGACTATATAATGGTACTGCTTCATTGGAAGGATAAAACATTTCAAAATAAAGGCGATAAAAAGTTTAACAAAATAAGAACAATATTATGTCGCAGTTTCCCCAGTTAGGCTTTTAATGTCATAGTGTCTAAAAGACACCCGTTTTAACTCAGTCTCTACTGAACTAACTTCTGCAGAACAGCTTTAGAAAGCCTCTGGGGCCCGGGGCCACGTGGGCGGAGCCAGAGCGTGCCAAGTGGGCGGAGCCAGCGTGTCCCGGACAGGTTTGCCCCGCCCTCTTTCACCGAGGGGGCGGGGCCAAAGGGCGCTCAGTTTGCGCGCGCAGCTTTCATCGCCGTAGACGCTGTGGGGAAAGAGGCTGGGGCTTCCCAGCCCCTATAGCCCGATGAGAGGCAAAAACTAGCGTACCGAGGCCCGCCGGCGTGCGTAACGTTGACGTGTGACGTCATCCAGCCCCGAGGCGCGTGCGCAGTGTGTGTGTATATAAACCTGTCTGCCGGCGTTCGGTGCGGGCGTGAGCCTGGAGGTGGGTTCCTGCTCCAGGGTGTGGGGGGGGGGAGCGGGTCTGGGCCTCTTCTAGGGCCTCCTTCCCGGCCTCCCGGCGCCTCACCTCCTTCCTCCGCGGTGGGGGCTGCCGTGAACCCGAAGGAGCGGAAGTGGAGGATGGCCCCCTGGAGTGAGAAGAGCGAGTGAAGCGCCGCCTCTGCAGACTCTGAGGGCGGAGGTGGGCGTGAGCGAAGGTAATCCGCGCCGGGGTTCCGAGCCCGTGCCGCCCTCGAGCTTCTGAGGCAGAGGCTGGGACCGTGGCTCCTCCAGGCCACGCACAGGTCACTTAAATGGAGCCTGCGGCTCCCTTCCACCCGTTGAAAGAAGACCTCGGGTGCCCCTGGCCCAAAGTGAAGCGCCGGGTCCACCTCAGCCATGACTTTCACTATTGCCGGTCTGAGGAGCTGTGGGCAGAAACACTTCCGAAACTTCCTGTTCCTTGGAGGGATGACAACTGTTGATGAATTCACGTGGGTTTTTGTCCGAGGGCCCAAAACTTGGCAGGTTATTTCTTTTGTGGCTTTGGGCAGGAAGTACATGACTTCCTACTGGAGTCTGCAAAATAAGAATGGTAATGCTGACCCTTCAGGCCGAATGATGATGCCACACAGCTCCCTAGAGAGTGCTTAATGAGAGGGATAGAGGAACGCTTCCTTGTTCTTTATATTATTTAATCCACATGCTTTTCTTTTCTTTTTTTTTGGTCATACATTGATGTGCTGGAGTGAAGTTGAAGTGCATTATGATGATTCAGATTCAGAATCTAATCAGAGGGGTGCCTTTTGTGCTGATAGCCATTCTTTTTTTCTTTTTTTTTCTTTTTTTTAACATAAATTATTGAGTGCTTTAGTGTACTAAGCCCTGTTCTAAACTTGGGATGATAAATGAGTAAGCACATTGCAGAAAGGAAAGTGAAAGTAAATGCTAATAGATTACAGTCTTCTGGCTGTTACTGTATTTATTGTGGCTCTAGCTCAACCTTTATTTTCCATTTTAATCAGAAAGCATTGACTTTGTGGGGTGATGATTGCCAATTTTTTCATATTTAACAAGTTAAGGTTCTTTTTGAAAATTTTTGTAGAATGCATTGGATATACCAGTGGTTAGCAAACTCATTAGTCAACAGAGCCAAATATCAACAGTACAACGATTGAAATTTCTTTTGAGAGCCAAATTTTTTAAACTTACTCTAACACCACTTCTTCAAAATAGACTCGCCCAGGAAGTGGTATTTTGTGGAAGAGCCACACTCAAGGGGCCAAAGAGCCGCATGTGGCTCGTGAGCCGCAGTTTGCCGACCACGGGGACATACTAAATAAATGCTAAACTCTTGAACTAAATTATCTGTTAATTAACATTGTGCTAGCAAGTACAGTTGACCTTTAACTCCCCCAAAGCTGATCTACTAATAATACTTGTTGAATGGAAATCTTACTGGTAATAGCAATTAACACTTATTTTGTATATTTTATGTATTATACATTGTATTTCTTCAATAAGTAAGCTAGAGAATATTAAGAAAATCACAAGAAAAAATATATTTATAGTATTCATAGAAACCCCCCCACACACACATATAAATGTTCTTGTGCAATTCCAACCCAGTGTTTAAGGGTCAGCTGTACCATGTACCAGATAGATAGTGCTCTATCTGCTAAAATTTAGAACTTTTCCAACACTATGCCATTAAGCCATGCTTCTTTCTCGTATGTCCCTTTCCCTCTCAGGTGGGCAGATGTTTTTGGTTTCTCAGACAGTGTTAGAACACAGAATGTAGGGTGACTATTTGTGATTTGTATACAATAAGGATATTCTTCACTTAAAAATTCTTCTATCAAAGTGTTTTAATTTTGATGGCAAGAAGAAATCATATTTTATAGTACATTTATGAGTATGGAACTATCTGACTGACCAGATGAGACAGGGATTTGTAGTTTAGAGATATGCTAGGGTGAACTATAGGTTAGGATCAACATTGAGTTGAAGGAGGCTAACCAGTCAGGTGTACATACCGTATTGACAGTGTAGTGATGAGTGTTAGTTGGTGACTTATAAAGGTGATTTGATACTACCAAAGTGCGTGTCTTAGCAAGAGAGAGAGATCTGGACAGAGGACATATTTGGCAATTCTGCTTGGCTGATAAGTGGGTGGTGGCAAAAAGGCCTGATATCAGGATCAGTATTGGATTCAGATGCAGAATCCTCTCCTGGAAGAAAGAGATATGGAGGGAGTTGAAAAAAAAAAAAAAAGCTAAAAGTCTGTTGTTTGAACTTGATCAAATGTCATGTTTGGAGATGGAATTTAGTCTAAGTATGTTTGGGGCTCTGTGAGTGGTGTCTCGGACATGAATAGAGGAGGACTTCAGAGAGGAGCTAGAGGGGTTACTATGGGAATAAGAGTTGCCATTCACTGATGAATCTTCTGTGGAATTTGCTTTGTATATGCTAGCATGTTTTATCCTCCTCTAAAAAAATGATATCTTGTCCAGTCGGTGTGGTTGAGCATCAACCCATGAACCAAGAGGTTACTGGTTCGATTCCCTGTCAGAGCACATGCCCGGGTTGTGGGCTTAATCCCCAGTAGAGGGCTTGCAGGGGGCAACCAATTGCCCCGTGCTTTTGACTCAATTATGTTTCTGTTTCTCTGTCCCTTCTCCCCTCTCTCTAAAAATGAATAAAAAATATTTTTAAAATGATACTTCAATTTAAAAAATATATATTTTATTGATTTTTTACAGAGAGGAAGAGAGAGGGATAGAGAGAAACATCGATGAGAGAGAATCATCTATCAGCTGCCTCTTGCACGCTCCCTACTAGGGATGTGCCTGCAGCCAAGGTACATGCCCTTGACTGGAATCGAACCTGGGACCTTTTAGTCCGAGGGCCAACTCTCTATCCATTGAACCAAATGGGTTTTGGCTGATACCTCAATTTTTAAAATAAGAAAATGAGGCTCAAAAGATGTAAAATAATTTGCCCAAGGCATAAGCTGTAAGTGGCAGAGCTGGAATTTGAGCCCAGGTCTATGGATATGAAAGCCTTTACTCTTTCTTTATTCCAAAGTGCCCCTTATATAATTGAGTGTGATGACATTAGCCTTTCCATTTTATTCGATTTGTCATGAGTGTGATCCAATTTGCTGTGGATGATATTTCACTTATTTATAATTTTGATTCATTTAATTATGTGTTTTCTTTTTCTAGATTTTAATTTAATTTGAAAATGAGTGAGTGCAGAAAACCAACCCTGGGTTCAAGCCCTGAGACATTCAGCCCAGATGTTGTTGCTGACATTTTTGAACTCTTTGCTAAGAACTTTTCTTATGGCAAGCCACTTAATAATGAGTGGCAATTACCAGATTCCAGTGAGATTTTCACCTGTGACCACACAGAATTTAATGTGTTACTTGATTTGAAGAACTCTCTAAATGAAGTAAAAAACCTACTGAGTGATAAGAAGCTGGATGAGTGGCATGAACACACTGCTTCCACTAATAAAGCTGGAAAAATTATTTCCTGTGTGAGAAAATCTATGAATGCTGAACTTTGTACTCAAGCATGGTGTAAATTTCATGAAATTTTGTGCAGCTTTCCAGTTATTCCACTGGAAGCTTTTCAGAATGGAAAACTGAATTCTCTACATCTTTGTGAAGCTCCTGGGGCTTTTATAGCTAGTCTCAATCACTACTTAAAATCCCATCGATTCCCTTGTGAATGGCATTGGGTAGCTAATACTCTGAATCCATACCATGAAGCCAATGACAATCTTACGATGATTATGGATGACCGACTTATTGCAAATACCTTGCATTGGTGGTACTTTGGTCCAGATAACACCGGTGATATCATGACCTTGAAATATCTGACTGGCCTTCAGAATTTCATAAGCAACATGACCACTGTTCACTTGATCACTGCAGATGGGAGCTTCGATTGCCAAGGAAACCCAGGTGAACAAGAAGCTTTGGTCTCTTCTTTACAGTACTGTGAAGCAGTCACTGCCCTGGTGACCCTTGGAAACGGTGGCTCTTTTGTTCTGAAGATGTTTACTTTGTTTGAACATTGTTCCATAAACTTGATGTACCTGCTCAACTGTTCCTTTGAGCAAGTCCATGTTTTCAAACCTGCTACAAGCAAGGCAGGAAACTCAGAAGTCTATGTGGTATGTCTTCAGTATAAGGGGAGAGATGTAATCCAGCCTCTCTTATCTAAGATGGTGCTGAACTTTGGAACTGAAATGACCAGGAAATCTCTCTTTCCTCCTCATGTGATTCCTGCATCTTTTCTTAAAAGGCATGAAGAATGTTGTGCGTTCTTTCATAAATACCAGCTAGAGACTATTTCTGAGAACATCCGTCTGTTTGAGGGCATAGGAAAGGAGGAACAGGCAAGATTGAATAATTTAAGGGACTGTGCTGTTCAATATTTCATGCAAAAGTTTCAATTAAAGCCTCTTTCCAGAAATAATTGGCTAGTAAAAAAATCTAATATTGGTTGTAGTACAAATACAAAATGGTTTAGGCAGAGGAACAGATATTTTAAAACCTATAATGAAAGGAAAATGCTAGAAACTCTTTCATGGAAAGATAAGGTGGCCAAAGGATACTTTAATAGTTGGGCCGAAGAACATGTTGCATATAATTCTGGGCAAAGTTCTCTTTTAGAGAGGACAGCTTCCAATCTTGAGTGTCATTCATGGCATATTTTAGAGGGAAAGAAACTGCCAAAAGTAAAGTGTTCTCCTTTTTGTGATAGTGATATTTTAAAGACTCTTAATGAAGCAATTGAAAAATCATTAGGTGGAGCCTTGAATTTGGATTCCAAGTTCTGGCCAAAACATCAGAATTGTTGTTCTTGCCATGTTTTTTCTGAAGAACTGATTTTTTCTGAGTTGTTTAGGCTTATCAAGTGCCTTCAGGATGAGCAGGTTGGAGAACCCAGCAACCAAATAAAATGCCTGCTTGTGGGTTTTCCAGTTCTCCCTGATATCAAAATGCATATACCATTGGAAATTCAACTTCTTGAATCGGCTGAGCTTATGTCTTTCACCTGCTCATTGTTTCATGATGGGGACCCAACTTACCAGCAGTTATTTTTGAACTGCCTTCTACATTCACTACAGCATCTTAATACAGGGGATGTTATGATTTTGCCAGTACTTTCCTGTTTTACAAGGTTTATGGCTGGTTTGATCTTTGTACTCCATAGCTGTTTTAGATTCATCACATTTTCTTGTCCCACATCCTCTGAGCCTCTGAAGATCTGTGCAGTCCTGTTATGTGTTGGTTACCAGGACCTTCCAAATCCAGTTTTCCAGTATCTGCAGAATCTGAACGGATTGTTGAGTGCTTTGCTTAACTCTGATGCACCCGAACAAGTTTTACAGTTTGTGCCAATGGAATTTCTCCTTCAGGGGGCACTGCTTGATTTTTTGTGGGATTTGAATGCTGCCATTGCTAAAAGACATTTGCATTTGATTATTCAAGGAGAGAGAGAAGAAATCATCAGCAGCCTTCAGTTACAAAATTGAACTTGTCTTTCTGAAGGCAATTTTTTGCAGACAACTTAAGCCGATAAATAAGACCAACTAAACAACTATGGGTGTGTCCACCCCAAGCACATACACACATCTCATGAGTCAATGGCACTGTATGAAACATATTGAGAAATCTGGCAAAATGAGTACCCAAATCTGTACCTGACATGGTCAATGTTAAAGGAAATCAATGAGGCTCGGCAGTGATTCACCTTTCAACAAAACCTCTATCAATTCATTAACAGCATTAGCAATTGAGAGGAATTTAGTTGGGAAAAAATTGGAATGAAGGCAATTTTTTGCAGATAAGTAAAGCTATCAAGACAGCTTCAAACCAAAGATTATGTTTATAACTGAAAAATTGTGTCTAACAATTTCTGTATCATGGAAAGCCTCATTTAGCAATGGGGTAGCAATTTTAAACTTCCAGGAAATAATCTCTGAACTAAAAGATATTTTAAAATTGCAAAATAATGGTTATGGTCTCATATTGGGAACACATGGATGTAATCAATACAATAAATAATGGAAAAAAAATTAACACTTTCATAATGATTCAGCATTTAGTGTTTACAATTAATTTTTTCGGTATGAAAGTTGCACTTTATCAAAAGTTTAACCATGAGATGGTTATTTTATCAGTTATGTTTGATTTCTTTTGAATTATATGTATTTGACAGTGTAACCAACCTTCTCTGATAAACTAGTAAGCAAATATTTATTACTTTGAAATTCCCAAAATGGAGAATATTTGTATTCTTACATGAGCATTTTAGACATTTTGTTAGTTATATGAAAAATAGATGTATTATCTGATGTATTTGGTTGATAAATATTAATCTGAATTTTTTTTCATGTTCTTGGCTATTTTGAGTTTCATCATAGATTCATGAATAAAGTCATTAGCAGATAGATATTTGTGTTCGTCTTTTTTAAAGAGAATCATGGGAGAAGTTAAAAATATAACTTGGAAACAGATTTTTTTAAGGAAGGTTTGAATGAGAGTTAATGTTCCTTCATTTCCTCTGATTTGTATTCATTAAAATTTAGTCCTTAATATTGTAATATTTATGGAAGCTCTACTTTGGGAAAGAAATTGAATACTTAACAGGGAAGGGAGGGGACAGATTTAGTTCTTGTCAGGGAGGGTGTGGATGCCAGGAGGTAGATTTCTGGAAGACATGTGATTTCCTACTGGTGACGTTATGGAAGCAGTTTCAGTTGTATATATAATGTAAGGTGACCAGACGTCCTGCTTTTTAACAATTTGTCCCACTTCCCATGGCGTTTTAAAAAAGTCCCAGGATGCGGGACAAATTGTAAAAATCGGGACGTCTGGTCACCTTAATATAATGACAGAAAATTGGTTACCAAGGGAGAGTTAAAACCTCTCTTGGAAAACCATTTTGTACTTAGTAATCTTTATGCCTTGGTTGATTGGGTCCAATGTAATGACACAGTTTATTCTTACTTATTTTAGCTATTTGATTGAATGAAGTTGAAACCCTAGATCCAGGTTCTTGTATTAAAACTTTCTTTTAAGCTTCTCAAGTATTGAATATTTAGGGTTTTAGCAGTAACCTATGCTAGAATATATATTATATTGGTGTATGCTAGAATGTACTTTGGTTTTCACCCCGGCTTTTGGAATCAGTTGCTGTTTATCTGATTTATTAGATTTAAACTTGCTTTAAAGGTGAGATAAGACTCAAGGAAGATTCAAATTGAACTGGATGTAGGTGACAGGTACCAATGGTTTATAGGAATTTCTCTGTGAGAAAAAGGAGAAAACATATACTTTCCAAAAAAATGAATGAGATAGTAGAGGGCAAGTATGAGATGGTTCATATAGTTTATCAAGGTAGTTATTTCTCTTTAAAATTTTTTTTTTGTAGATCTTGAGATTTTTAATTGTAATGCTTTTTGAAAAGAATTTAAAACAGCCAGAAAATGTAAACTTCATAAATGTGTTTCTTAAAAAAGTTAGATGAGAAAGAGGTCTTATAAATTTAATTTCTTTAATTTAATTAATTAATTTATTTTTTTAGATTTATTTTATTTTATTTTTTTAAATACATTTTTATTCATATTATTACAATGTTCCTCCCCCCCCAATTGCTCTCCTCCACCAGGTTCCCACCCCACCCTCTGCCCTTTCCCCACCCCCCATTGTCCTCATCCATGGGTGCACAGTTTATGTTCAGTCTCTTCCCACATCCCCCTCTCCCCTTTTCCCCAAGAATCGTCAGTTCACTCCCCTTCCATACCTCTGATTCTATTATATTCAACAGTTAATATTGTTCATCAGATTTTTTCCCCCAATTTTCTTGGTTTTTAGATTCACTTGTTGATGGTTATGTATTTGTTGTTCATAATTTTTATCTTTATTTACTATCTCTTCCGAAAGAACCTCCTTCAACAATTCATATAATTCTGGTTTGGTGGTGATGAACTCCTTTAGCTTTTTTTTATTACTGAGACTCTTTGTCTGGCTTTTGATTCTGAGTGATAGCTTTGCTGGGTAGATTATCTTTGGCTGTAGGTTCTTACTATTCATCACCTTGAATATTTCTTGCCATTCCCATCTGGCCTGCATGGTTTCTGTTGAGAAATCAGCTGTCAATCGGATAGGTGCTCCTTTATAGGTAACTACCTGCTTTGCCCTTGCTGCTTTTAATATCCTCTCTTTGTCTTTTGCTCTTGGAATTTTAATTATGATGTGTCTTGGTGTGGTCTTCTTTGGATTCCTTTTGTTTGGAGTTCTGTGCGATTCCTGGACTTGTAAGTCTAATTCTTTCACCAGGTGGGGGAAGTTTTCTGTCACTAGTTCTTTCAGTATGTTTTCGATATCTTGCTGTCTCTCATCTTCTGGGAGCCCCATAATTCTGATGTTGGTTTGCTTGAAGTTGTTCCAGAGGTTTCTTACATTATCTTCAATTTTCTGGATTCTCTTGCCTTCTTGCTTCTGTGGAGGAGTGTCTTCTGGCTCTTTATGTTCCAAATCATTGACTTGATTCTTGCGATCTTCCATTCTGTTTTTAGGACTCTGTATAGTATTTTTTATTTCAGACAATGTATTCTTTATTTCTTGTTGATCCCTTATCATTTCTTATTGATTCCTTATTAATTCCAGTTGATCCCTTTTCATCTCCTCATAGGTCTTATCGACCTTTTTTAGGAAATTCTTGAAAAACCTTATAAGCATAGATTTGAACTCTATATCCAGTCGCTTTTTGTCCTCCATTTCTTTCGTTTGTGATCTATTTCGTTGTCTCGGCATTTTCGCAGCTTCCCTGATGGGGCGGGGTTTTAGGGTGGAGCCTACAGCCTTGGCTTCTGTCAGCCATGCCATATGCAGGTCCTTCAGTACTCGTTGCAAGCACCTCTGAGAGAAAGGTGCCCTCGATTTTCACCTGCTACCAAACAGTCTAGGCTCTTTCCCAATGAGCCCAGAACGGGTTCAGTTCAGTTGGAAGTGGAGTTGGAGGCGGCGTTCAGAGCAGTCCGGAGCTTTTGTCTCCTTCCCGCCAGGGCAATCCCGCGGCACAGCCAATCGTCCCTTCTCTGTGCACAATGTGCGCACCTTTGGGACCTTCTTTCGCGGCTCCCCCGGGGTTCCGCCTTACAGCCCAGCTCCCTATGGATGAGCCTGGGTCCCCGGGGTCTGGCCTAGAACTGGGGTTCAGGGCTCAGCACAGTCGGAGCTTTTATCCCCTTCCCGCTAAAGAACGCCAGCCAGCCACTCAGCCGCCCCTCCTCTCCGGCTCTGTCCTCTGCGCGCACCGCGTGTCTTTGTACCTTAGGCTTTTACAGCTCCTCCGCGCTTCCTTCTGGTTTTCTCCTTGCTTCTCGTTGTAGAATTTCCAATCAGTCGACTTTCCTTTAGTTCTGGGTAATGTCCATTTTATATTTTAGTTGTATTTTATTGAAATTGTTGTGTGCAGCTGCGGCTAGGTGTTTACCTGTGCAGCCATTTTGGATTCTCTCAGATGAGTCTAATTTCTTTAATTTTAATTTTTGTTCCTTCTAGAAAAAAAAAATTAGTCTCTTATTTCAGTGGGGGGTTTTACATATTATCCTAAAGTTATTTAAATATTTGAATGTGTTGGAAATATCTTTTGTGAAATAAATTTAAAATTAATGTGTGGACTTGACTCCATCTTTAATATAGTTATTTTGTTTAAAAAGATTTGTGTTGCCCTTGCTGTTTTGCTCAGTGGATAGAGCATTGAATTGCAGACTGAAGAGTCCCAGGTTCAATTCCAGTCAAGGACACATGCGTGGGTTGCAAGTTTGATATCCAATAGAGGGCATATGGGAAGCAGCTAATCAGTGATTCTCTCTCATAGATGTTTCTGTCTCATTCTCCCTCTCTGAAATCAATAAAAATATTTAAAAAAAAATTTGTGTTAATTTTTTTTTCTACTTCAAAGATGTTGGAAAGAATAAAAGCAAGATTAAATGTTGGGAGTGCTGAAAAAAACATATTTTACTTTATGAGAATACCAGGTCTTAAAAATATTTAAACCTTATTCTTTTTTTTTTTTTTAAATGTATTTTTTAATTGATTTTTTTACAGAGAGGAAGAGAGAGGAATAGAGAGAAACATCAATGAGAGAGAAATATCAATCAGCTGCCTCTTGCACACCCCCTACTGGGGATGTGCCCGCAACCAAGGTACATGTCCTTGACAGGAATTCAACCTGGGTTCCTTCAGTCCACAGGCTGACGCTCTGTCCACTGAGCCAAACAGGTTTCTGCTAAACTTTTTTCTTTAATTGCAGATGAGATCATTAATTGAATAGTTTTAAAATTAGTTATAGTGCTTTGATGTGGGTATATGAAAACAGTAAATCCCTCCTATTTTTAGAAATGAAAATGTTGATTATAAATCTAACTAAAAATTTTATTTTCCATGGTTAAATACTTTCCATTGATTTTTTTTTTTTAAAGGGCAACACTGACATTTAGTGTATTTTTAGTTTCTGAGGTGA